GGCCGCGGGGACTTCGGGCAGTTCACTGGACAGCTTCTCCAAGGGCTCGCTCAAGATCAGCTGGAACCCGTGGCGTCACGGGCTGTCGTCCGTGGACAGCCTGCCCCTAGATGAGCTGCCCAGCACGGTGCAGCTGCTGCCAGCGCCTACCCCAGCCCCTGCTCCTGCCCGGGCCGGGGAGCCTCAGAGCGAAGGCCAGCAGCGCTGCAAGACCAGCGAATCTCGCAGCGCCTCCAGTGACACTATAGAGCTCTGAGCGGCTGCCAGGGAGGACTTAGACCCTCACCCCAAGGTCCACATGAAGTTCCTGAGCCAAGACAGTTAAGCGTTTGAAAAACTGGTCTTCTGGGGCCTCCACCTGACTGCAGCTCCCGGGGAAAGACAGGCTTGAGTTCACTAGACTCGTTTTTTTTGTTTGTTTTTAAATATTTCTATTTTTTTTTCAGCAGATATTTTGCACAGAGGCCGTGAGTTACACGGAATACAGGGTGGACGTGCATGGTTTGAGCATGGGGAACAGGGACCAGGTACTCCTGATTCCCCAATGTGGAGAGATGCACCTCACTTGTCCAGATTGACTGTCCTCTTTGTGCCAAAGAAATAAACCCTTCAGAGTAGGCTCATGCCTCCCTCTGGTCAAGCCAGGGTCCTATACTCCTATAGGAGAAACAGGAACCCCTTCCCCGCAGGAACAAAGAGGCTTCCTGGGGAAAGTTGCCTCTGGCTTTAGTAGGGACAGCATCCACCACTATCTCACTAAAAACCTGTCACTGTGCAGTCCCACCTCCTGAAATCCCCACCGTAAGCCTAACTGGAAAGCATTCTGCCCACTTCAGAAATGAGAAAATGAGGTTTGGAGGTGGCCTATATTATTATTTGGGTCCTGCAACAACATCTGATATTCAACCCAGAAAGATCAATTCCTAAGCTGGTTCCTTTGTCATCTTTCTCCTTCCTCTCTCCACTTTTTAATTTATTTACTTATTTATTTTTTTGGTTTTTCAAGACAGGGTTTCTCTGTGGCTTTGGAGGCTGTCCTGGAACTCGCTGTGTAGACCAGGCTGCTCTCGAACTCACAGAGATCTGCCTGCCTCTGCCTCCCGAGTGCTGGGATTAAAGGCGTGTGCCACCAACGCCCAGGCTTTTTTTTTTTTTAATTTAAAAAAATCCATAGATTTATTTCATATGTATGAATGTTTTGACTGCATGTATATGTGCGCCATGTGTGTGCCTGGTACCTGAGGTCAGAAGACTCTAATCCCTGGGAACTGGTGGATGGATGGTTGTGAGCCACCACATGGGTGCTGGGAATTGAACCTGGATCCTCGGCAAGGGCAACAAGTGCTCTTAACAACTGGCCCCTCTCTCTAGTCCCTTCACACCACTTGTCTGTCATGGCAGCCCTCAGTTTCCCAGGGTTGTGGAAAACATCACTGAGGTAGCGGCGATGAAGCTTTCCCAGTTTTCAAGACCTTTATTTCCTGAGATGAATAAATAAGTCAATGGCTGGGGCGTGGGAGGTGAACACGTGACAAGAACTGGCAGCATGCACCTGGCAGGAGGGCTATGGGGGCCCCCACCCCTGAGGGGCCACCTCTCATAGTGAGCAGGGGCCAAAGCCTGCAACCTCCCTAAGGAGAAACTGTCTTTTGAAATTCACACACTGTAATGCCTGCCAGTCCCCTAGGCAAGGCTCTCATGGCATCAGCTTCAGGGCTTCTTTTTCACCCCTGGGGCTACTGGGGTCCTGGGCTGCTCGGTAAGGCAGGTTCAATGGTGTTTACCCCAGTCTCAAAGAGAAACCACACTGCCCCAGGTGTCCAGCAGGAGAGACCTCTGGGGGACATTCTGGGTGGGAGGAAATCCCCTAAGTGGTGGCAGGGATTATCTACCCTTGATGAAGCCCTCCAGTACACGGTCACTTCGCTCTGACAACCAGTACCCGGTCATGGCTGCCACGGCTCCAATGAAGATGGCAGTGAACACTAAGTCGCCTTTAGCAGCAAGCGTGGCCAGAGCACAGATGATGACGCCAAAGAACATCTGTTGCAGGACCACCATCTCATCCTCTGTCATCTCCGCGAAGATGCCCGCTGACTCTGCAGAGGAGGTATGACATGTCACTGCCTCATTCCTGGCAGTTCCGAGAGCTGCCCACAACACCCACACACTTCATCATTGCTGCCGAGCCCACCTAGCTAGCTCACCAAGAACACAGTGTCATTCACTATTTTAGGAAGCCTCTGCAGGGGCAGCTGAGACCCTGCCACCCCAAACTGAGAGGTGACGGAGCTGCCCAAGGCTCTGCAGAAGACTGCTCCCATTAGACAAGAGAAAACAGGTTTAGGGAGGCGGAGTGTTTTGGTGCCAAATCTGGTTCTCTTTCTACCTGGGACGTGAGGAAATGCAGTCTCAAATCCAACCTTGAGAACAGACACAGGGACCAGGTCTCAGTGTAGCCTCTTTGGGAGGTGGTGAAGTGGGGCCTGGAGGAGGAGCTTGTCTGCTCTTTCTCTGGACCAGCCCAGCCTCCCTGCTCACCTGGGATCTTCTCCTTCATGCAGACACCCTCCTCCTGTCTGTAGCCCTCAGCACAGACACAGCGGTAGCTACCCTCCGTGTTCTCACACTGCTCATTCTCTCCTGGACACACCACTGTCTCGCACTCATCCACGTCTGAGAAGGAGAGAGGAGGAGTCAGAGTGCTGGCAGCCGTGACTCCCCACACAGCACCCCAGACTGCATTTCACTCCCACCCAGACTCAATGTGGAATCCTCCTTCCCTTGCCACTCCCACACTCCAGCCCCCATGGGTATAAGACTCACCTAGGCACTTGGAGCCCACCTGCTGGTAGCCACGGCTGCATTTTTTACAGCGGCCAGGCCCTGCTCCCATACAGCCCAGGCAGGCCTTTGCACAATCTGAAGAAGAGAGGGGAGGGGACGGGAGGCAGAGGTGAGCTCAGGGGCCTGAGGGCTCTGGAGCCTGAGAAGGCAGAAGTTTGGAGGAACAGGCATGAAGCGGCATCTCCTGTTCCTCTCCTCCATCCCAGCCTCTCCCTTCAGCAGTGAACACTGACCTCGGCACTCATAGGAGCCTTCTGTGTTCACACAGAACTGGTCAGGTCCACAGGAGGCTTGCTCTGTCCCACACTCATCGATGTCTGCGGAGAGGGCAAAGGTTGGGAGGGTCACCTTGCAGGACTAGCAGAGAAACTAGGACTAGCAGAGAAACGAAGTCAGGAGTGGACTTGCTGTGGGAGCAACTGCAAGCTGAAGCAACCATGCAGCTGGACCAGTGCTGCCCAGGCAGAGACTCAAGGTTGTCTGCCCCGCAGCTAATCGAAACCCTCGGATGGGGGTGGAGATGGGAGTGACACAGTCCACTTTTAACTCAGCTCTAAAACTATCAGCCCCTTCTCACTTCCTGAGAGCTGAGACATGAAGCAGGAGGTGGCCATGACTCAGCATCATCCACGAAGCTTGTGTACAAGGGGTGACCCTAGATAGAGGTATTAGAGGGATTACACTGGAGTCTTTAGTTTGTCAGCAAGCACCTTTAACTGCTGAGTCATCTCACTGCTGAGCCCACTCTAGATTTTTGTTGTTTTGTGTAAGATTTGGTTCATCTGGGCCTTGGTGGCGCACGCCTTTAATTCCAGCACTCAGGAGGTAGAGGCAGGCAGATCTCTGTGAGTTTGAGGCCAGCCTGGTCTCCAGAGTGAGTGCCAGGATAGGCTCCAAAGCTACACAGAGAAACCCTGTCTTGAAAAACCAAAAAAAAAAAAAAAAAAAAAAAAAAAAAAAATTTGGTTTGTTAGGCAAGGTGTCTCATGCCTTTAATCCCTAGCACTGAGGAGTCAGAGTCAGGTGGATCTTTCAGTTCGAGGTCAGCCTGATCTACAAAGCAAGTTCCAGGACCCTATACATAGAAACCCTGTCAAAAAAAGCCATGCGTGTGTGTGTGTGTGTGTGTGTGTGTGTGTGTGTGTGTGTGTGTGTGTGTATGTGGGGGGGAGGGGCTTGGCTAAAGTAGCCCCTCTTCCAAGAAGGCCATCCTGACCCATCCCTGCCCTGCTAAGCTGGGTCTGGACAAGCATCTTCTTGTCATTCTGCCCTGTAAACACCTGGCTTGCTGCCTTTCCAGCCAGGCTGAGGGTTCCATGTGAATGGCTGGTACTGGTGTAGGACAGGGAGTAAAGTCCAGGCCACACCAGTGTCCCCCACTTACCCACACACTTGAGATGATGCAGGGCCCAACCTTTCTTGCACTGCAGACAGTGGGATTCCTCAGGTCCTGTGCAGCGGGCACAGGGACCAAAGCATGCTGGGTAAAGAGCACACAGTATGAGGATGGGCAGGGAGGTATCTCAGCTGTCTTTGCCCCCCCCAGCACACTTTTGGCTACCTACCCGAACATACCAGATGGCTGCTGTTGCGCTCCGCCTCAAAGTAGCCAAGGCCACACTGGCCACAGGCCTCGCCCCCATAGCCGACTTGGCAGTCACAGTGCCCGCTGCCCCCTCGAGTCCCTTCCCCTTCACACTGCCCGTAGCCACCGCAGGGCCTCTCTGTGCCCCCAGGACATGCTGTAGGCAGACATCAATTGGGTGAGATCTTATATACAACCTCATCATCCAAGAGGAGAATTTTCTACATGGTCCTAAATATTTTTTGGAAAGGAAAATTAATTTTAATATTCACAAATTCTGTCATAAGCTATCTGAAACAAAAAAGCTATGCAAAACAACTGGGTATACTTTTCATTTATTTTTATTTACCTACTTTTTTTTTTCTTATTTTGAGAGAAGTATCACTTATGTAGCCCTACCTGGTCTGGAACTCACTATATAGACCAACCTGACCTCAAACTCAATTACACACACACACACACACACACACACACACACACACACACAGAGTGTTTGTTTGTGTTTGAGACAGACTCTTCAGGAAGTCCAGATAATGTATCTGAATAAACTTGGAACATCTTCCTGCCTCAGCCTCTTAAGTACCAACTAGCATTACAGGCACACACCACCAAATCTGATGAATCTATTCTAGAGACTGAATTGATCATTCCAGCACCTTAACCCTTTTCCTTGTTTACAGAAGTAGCTCTAAAAAGGGTTAGGAGCCTGGCTTGATGGCATGTGCCTGCAATTCTATCACCAGAAGGCTCAGTCAGGATTATTACAAGTTCAAAGCCTGAGCTCACAGATGAACCCTGTCACTTCAAACAAAAAACAAAACCAATAATAAACAGGTTAATTAACACAGCATTGTACTAAGTTCAACTCAGCACTATACTAAGTTCAGTTCTTGCCTTGGGTCTGTAGAGGTGGACAGACAGTGACAAGAGGGCTTCACGGCATGTGCCTGCCCCTGTCCAGGTACAGTCTGACCAGACATGAGAATGAAGGAGGCAGGGGCATGGCAACATTTGTCTAATACCTGATAGCAGCCACATTGCACTACCCTAGCCCTGTGCTTTTTCTCTCCAGCCTGGCTCACAGATTTGTTCATTTCAGGCCTGAGAGACAGGCCAGAGAACAGGGCTAGAGATGTTATGTGAGGAAGCCTGCTCTCACACAGCCCAGTCTGGCTCCTTCACCTCAGCAGTCTCCTCCCACTCCCAAAGAGGACCATTGAAGACTCAGGAAGACTCACGCAGGCAGGAGGGCCCAAAAGTGCCAGAGGGGCAGCAGAGCTTCAGGGAGTCGGAACAGAGCCACTGGAAGAGGTCTGGAGCTTCGTGCTGCCTAAGGCAGGGGCAGATGAGGTGAAAGGGGGAGAGGGTGCTGAGACAGTGTCAGAGTGGCCACCTACTCCTACCACTTACTGAATCTGTAATTCAGCCCAACTTGGGCATGTGTCCCAGAAACCACTTTACCAAAGTCCCTTTCCCACTTGGCAGAGGGGTAAATAGGCCCAGAATGGGGGCCTGGTA